ATGTGTGTGTTTAAGGAGGTATGAATAACTCTAAAATGGTGTAGGATGAGAAGACCATGAAGATCATCTATTTTGCAAATGAGTGTGTGAACATACTGGGAGGAGAGAATGTGTTGAGAGTAAATGGCAGGAAGCATTAACATTATTAAAATCTCTGTAGTCACTTTTAGGTAGGAGCTTGAATTCAGACAAAATTGTTTCTTATGATTTGATACCATGGCTATTTTCCAGATTAAAAAGTTTGACATAAATTTAGTTACGGGGGGGGGGGGGGGGTGGCGGGCTGGCAGCGGTAGACAAGAGACTAGAAACAGTATACATTCTTGAGTACATATTGCCACCCAGTGGATGAACGTGGATGACACACAAAACATTTATAAGGAGAGACAAAGGAAGACATTAAGAGGTTGTGACCATGATGCTAGTGTTAAAGCTTTGTTTACGCTCAGTCAAGGCCAGGTATCATAGGTGATCCAAACCTGAATCACCACTCTTTTAGAACGCCAGACTAGATTTTGAAAGCATTAAAAACTTTAATATATTATGAGTACTTTTACCTCTGCCTTAGATACTAAAGTCTCATTAATGCTGATGAAACATGTCCATGAATTTCCAATAAAACAGGTCAGAGATACTTAACTTACAATAAGGCAGAAAGAGGGTTCTCAAGGCAGAGATTAGAGATTCAAATCTTGATTTCCCAGGGTGCTAACAGCTTTGTTACAAAGTCTAGAATCAATTACATTTTTGGCATAATAATCTTGACTTTCCTTTCATCCGAAAGGAGATAAAGACTTATTAGAGTAGGAATATACAGAGATAATGGGTGGAAGTTGGGTCATTTATGTATTGAGGGATTTCCTAGTGGTTCAACTTGGAGGGGCACAAAAATATCCTTCTCATCAGACAACTCCATAAGAATCTTACGGTATTCTGTTGACAAGTCTAAACCTATGTACTATGTTTTCTAAAAGGAATAATAAAATTCGTGCTATTGTGGGGTTTTTTTTAGATTTTATTTATTTAAGAGAAAGAGAGAGAGCATGAGCAGGGGGAAGGGCAGAGGGAGAGGGAAAGAGAATCCTCCAGCATACTCCCCACTGAACCAGGAGCCAACACAGGGCTTGATAGCAGGAACCAGAGATCATGACCTGAGCCAAAGGCAGATACTTAATTGACTGAGCCACTCAGGTGCCCCAAAATTCATGCCATCGTCATGACTTTAGAAGTCCAAGGAAAACTAATCTGGGGCTTATTTCTTACTGTTTATGCCGTATCCACATCAAGAGATTTATCCATTCACTTAGAACACCTCTAGATAGGGAGCCCAGTTACAAATGTGCTTCTTCTTTGTCTGGGATTTATTTATCTAACTCTGCTTATAAGCTAATAAATTAACCTATTACTGTTTCATGGACGTTGGCAGAAGACATGAGATGCCTGAGTCAATGATAAAAGACTTCATTATTCATAATTAGCAGGTAGGATGAACACTACATTTTAGTATTCCCTAGCTGCCCAAGTCCCAGGGCGGCACCAGAGAGTAACTCATGTGCATTCTTGTGTACACAGGTTCATGTTCTGAGAAAGAATACTGAACTTGGGGAATCTACCACTTTTATAATAAGTGGTAAGGAAATATGCCTTTTCCGATGGGATCAAGTAATGCCCATTTGGTCCAAGTTGGGAGGAGAAGCAGCTTTAAATTTTGATTAGATTGGACTCAATATTCTCAAATTTACTATAAGTTGGAAAGTCTAATGATGGGTTAAAAAAAAAACATGACTGAAAACCCTAAGACAGATCTCTACTGCAAATGTTCTTTCTTTACACTGCATTAATATAACATTATTTAAATATTTAATTAAATGAAGAGATAAAAGTAACTGTATCTTTATAAAAGATATAAAAGTCCTTGAAATTGGCTTTGAAATGCACTGAAGCCTGGTCCTAACACTCCCACCTGTTATTCTAATGAATTGATTTGGGGAGTTTTAAAGATTTTTATTTATTTTAGAGAGAGAGTGCACAAGCAGGGAGAAAGAGGGGAAGAGAGAGAATCTCAAGCAGACTCCACCACATCGACCACAGAGCCCAAAGTGAGGCTTGATCCCACAACCCTGGGATCGTGACCTGAGCTGAAATCAAGTCGGACACTTAATCAACAAGCCACCCAGGCACCCTTGGTTTTGGGTGTTTTTAAAACTTACCAGGTATTCTATTAATATACCAAGGTTGATACTGCTCTAGATATAGTGTCCACAAAAACAAAACAATTTTGCTACTTTACTTTCAAATATGAATAAAGCTATTGAAAAGCTATTTAATTTTCATGGAAAAGACCTTCCTGTTTGATCTTTACCGTCATAGTGATTTGATTAAATGGTTGTAGTAATTTCATTAACAAGATGTAAATTAATAAGTTCCATGAGGTGAGGCACCAGAACTCTTATATAAAATATTAAAATATACTATTACAGAAGTGGAAAAAAAGCAACAGTTTTGCAAAATACATACTGGTCCCTAAAATATAGCATTCCTGTAACAGACATGAATTTTGGTGGTAATTTGAGGTTTATATTGTTACATAAGTTGGAAACTGGAATTCTAATATTTTTAAAGAAACATGACTGAACACTTCAAAACAGATGTTTTTTGTTTTGTTTTTTAAAGATTTTATTTATTTATTCATGAGAGACACAGGCAGAGGGAGAAGCAGGCTCCATGCAGGGAGCCCAATGTGGGACTCAATCTCCGGCCTCCAGGATCACACCCTGGGCCGAAGGCGGCGCTAAACTGCTGAGCTACCCGGGCTGCCCCAAACAGATGTTTTTAAAAATGGCATTAATGTAACACTACTTAAATTCAACTAAATATTTAAGATAGAAAACTATTTAGCAAAAAATGACAACACACACACTCCTGCCCAAATGGTTTATTATTTTTACCCTTTGACTTTGTATTGGATCATGAAAAGATTCCTTCCCTTCTCCCTTTTTCTTTCCTTTTATAGATATAAGTGATTACAATTGTTAATCTTTGCTAGATGTTAAAAATATGAAGATGAGTAAGACCTGGCCCTTACTCTGATGGAGTTTACATTTACTAGTAGACAAGTAAACAGACCAACATTTAAAAATCAGTACACTGAGGAAGCCAAGAAATGATGTACAGGATCTAGTGAGGAAAACGATCAAGGAAAATGTTCTGGAAGAGATGACCACTTTGCTTGAGTCTTAAAGAATGGTCATAAGTTATTCAAGAAAAATGAGTTTGAGAATTATGCATACAGAGCCAGCAATAGGTACAAAGCCAGGAGGCAAGAGAAAACATTACTATGGAAGATAGTAAGACCTGCTGTGAACCCAATGATACACCAAAAAAAAAAAATTGTTTTTAGATATAGCAAAATCTTGTTAGATGGTAGATGGTAGACCTTTGAACATTAACATGGCCCCTCACCTTGCCAAACAGAACAAAATCTGAGCTTCTATATATGACCTGTCATAGTACTCACTGAGTATATACTACCTTGATAACTGAATTTTGGTCATATCTCCCTAAGGAACAAAGGAGACACTAGAATGCTATATTCATTCACTTAGATGTTTATATGTCTTTGGTGCTACTTGTTTTCTAATTTAGTAGAAAGCTTAAGTGAAGGTAACCTTAAACCTAATTTGACTTCTAGCCAGTCTTTGAATGCAAATCAGCCTTTGTGGTCTGACCTAGCTTAATGGTATATTCTAGGAAATGAAAGAAAAAAAAAAGAATGGCTAGAATATGTGATACAGAGTGAGGAGTGGTAGAAATTGAAAGGTAAGCAGGAGTGAGATCATAATAGCACTTATAAACGTCAGTGAGTAGGCCTTTATCTTGGAGACAGTGGAAAAGCCATCAGAGTGATGTAAAAAGATCAGACTTGCATTTTAGATCAATAGCAGTAAAAGAAGGGATTCAATGAAGTACTACTTAGAAGGCTGCTCAAATGATGCATGTGAGACATGATGATCTGAATATCTGGCAGCTGAGATAGAGACATAGGAACAGAGGATAGATTTACAAAGTCAGAAACATTGGAAAAAGAAGAGGTGAAGGAAAGGGAGACATTCAGAAACATTCTAAGATTTTTGGATGGGCAACTTCATGAAAAATGACTTATCTGAGATATGACATGAGAGGAGAATAAATTTTGGAGGGAAAATGGGAAGTTGGAGGATATTGTTTTGAGGGGCCCACAGAGTATGTCCAGTAAGGAACTTTATATCCAAGTCTAAATATGTACTTGAAAGTATAAAACTCAAAGAAGTTACCTTATGAATATGAAACATTAATCATGAAAACAAGGATGATGGGGGGGATAAGAAACAACTCTAAAACGTGCTTAATGAAAATAAGGAATAGAAAAGTATGTGTAAGATATAAACTGAAGCAATGTGCAATGCAAGACTAAGAATTAAGAAAATGTAGGATATTAAAAACTCAAAACTTGTTACCATGAACAAATCTATTTTCTACAAATGTTTCTCATGAAATGAGAGTACTCTTGTTGTTAGAAAGGAATTTGACATTTTGAGTTTAAGAGTCTGCTGGAAATTTTAGTTATTTAATAAAATACAGACACCCAGCCTTCTGAGAATAAAACAAAAAGCCTGCTCCAGATACAGAAAAGGACATAACCGACCACTGGCACTTGGCACAAGGACATGGGAAATACGATGTAAGCATTTATTTCTCCCTAAGAAAAATGCATCTAAGGAGAGCATGAAAAGTTTGTCTCCACAATATTGACATGTGATCATCATGAGTCCAAACTAAATGTGTTAATCTAGTAGTACTGGCAGATTTTATGTCCTTCACTAAGCAAAGATCTAGTACAGAATAATGCATTACTTGCAGTAGCTGCCCCATCTATGAAATTACAAGCTTAAAAACACTGCCTACGATGGAAATGTAGGTGCTCTGGACCACAGTTCCCATAAACATACACAGGAAGTGTATAAACCATGATTCTCATTATTTAATGAACAATTTACAAAAACTTCATTAAAAAAATCTATAATCCCACAGCATCCAATGTGTTTTGTGTGATTTACATTTGGGGCAAAGAAGCTATGTATCATATATAACACATATACATTTCTTGCTTGCCATTGACCATGAACACTGAGATCCACACATACACACACACAAACATATAGATAACTGAGCAGTGCTTCCTTGAAAGTGCTGGACTTCCACAGACTGGTGGCATTCTTTAAGAGTTCACATAAAAAGTAGGATGGATATATTCTAACTTTAGGACAACCAAGTGAAAACCATATCAAATCCACTTTGGTATATAAAATGATGTGCTTTATTTGCAATTGACATCTTACCCTCTAGCTTCTGAATCCATGGCTAATGTTTGTTTTTGTCATGTGTGATAGAATAAGCTTCTGTGAATTTCTCCCCAAAAAATCTACTTATAGAAAAAGAGTTACTAGAGATTCTGTAGATTAAGGTAGTTTTAGGTGGGTGAGGGTTCCTAAATGCTTTTATATACTTGAACATTATATTGAATATAAAGTAAGAGTAATACATTCATTAACTTTAAATGCCCCTTTTTTCTTTTTTTTTTCCTTCAGTACAATATAGAGAATAAACTGGTTCAACTTTATATCAAGAAACAGAACAAAGCTATTTGTAGACATACTGCCTCCTACTGGAAAGATCACTTTTTTGTTTTATAAAGCACCAGAGTATACCATATGTAGTCACTATGCTATTATTGACAATTTAAAATTACAATTAAAGTTTAGTTTGATACTCAGTACCTCCAAAAGAATCATGTCATGAACTCTCACCTGACTTACACACTTAATTCCTCTTCTTAATAAAATGACAACCATTATTTCCTATATGCAGTTAGCAGCAGTGCTTAAATCGAAACAAAACTTACTAAAAATAAAAATCATCATTGTGGTTGTACCTCCTAAGTCCCAGAAACCTACATATAATAAAGGCTGGGAGAGACAGAGATCTTACAGAGATGATAACATATGATTACTTAATTACCTAGTCATTCTGTTTCTGAGTTACTGAATCAATATTTTCTTTTTTTTTTCTTTTAACATTTATTTGAGAGAGAGAGATCACGAGCAGGGGGGAAGGGCAGAGAGAGAAGCAGACTCCTCACTGAGCAGGGAGCCTGACAGGCGACTCAATCCCAGAACCTTGGGATCATGATCTGAGCCAAAGGCAGACGCTTAACCGACTGAGCCACCCAGGTGTCCTGAATCAATATTTTTCACTCAGTAAAACAGCAAGGAGATTTTTCATTAAATATTCCAGAGCAGATAATCCAAAATCACAGATAATCAAATATAATTTTTATTTGGTTTTAGAATGTTTTGGTTCATAAAGTGAAATACAGCCACCTAATACTTTTTTTTTTTAAGATTTTATTTTTTTGAAAGAGAGAGAGTGAGAGACTGAGAGCAGGAGGAGGGAGAGGGAAGAGGCAGGGGCAGAGGGAGAAGCAGAACCCCTACTCAACAGGGAGCCAGATGCAGGGCTCCAACCCAGGATCCTGGGATCATGACCTGAGCTGAAGGCAGAGGCTTAACTGACTGAGCCACCCAGGGGCCCCCATCACCTAATATTCTCATAAATTTATAAATTTCAAACAAAATAATGCACAGTGAAGAACTGGAAAATGATCAGCCTTTGTTAATGTGTGAAGTTATCCTTAATCTTTATAATTATCACTAAACAGAAAGATTTTTTGTACAAGTTTGAAATTGTTGTCCTATGCTTTGTGTTTATTTTTTTATTTTATTTTTTTTAAATTTTTATTTATTTATGATAGTCACACAGAGAGAGAGAGAGAGAGAGGGGCAGAGACACAGGCTGAGGGAGAAGCAGGCTCCATGCACCAGGAGCCCGATGTGGGATTCGATCCTGGGTCTCCAGGATCGCGCCCTGGGCCAAAGGCAGACGCTAAACTGCTGTGCCACCCAGGGATCCCTATGCTTTGTGTTTAATGTCTTCCCTCAACTGGAAGAAATTAGGTATTTTATTTAAATTTTATACTGAGCTACAAGTTGCATAAAAGAATTCAACTAAACAAAGTATCAGGTTGTGGCAACCTTAGAACACAAATCACAGTATTGAAATTGCTGTTTGCCACCTTTCACTAGATATTAAACATCTGAAAGGCTACAGACTGTATTTTTTTTAACCTATCTTAGTATTTCAACAATATTTTGGCTGAAGGTATGAGTGGATTATACTAACAGAAAGTTGAAAATAAAATTTAACTTAGATACCTTTAATTAACTACAAAATCTGAAATGAGATTTTAGGTCACAAGATACGGGTTCAAATCTTACCTTACCACAAATTGTATGATTTTAAGCTCCACCTCAATCAGACTGTTTTCTCATCTGAATAAAAAGAGTAACAACTCTTTTGACTGACCTATGTATTTCATGCCCTATGTATTTCAGAGTGGCTATAAAGGTAAAATGAGGTAATGCATATAAAAAAAAGTCCTTTGTAAATAACCATCAAATGTAATTTTCCACTATTCTACTACATGTTCATGTAAGAAACAGATGTATAAGATGTTTTAAGATGCAATGTAATTACTCACATTAAAAATACACATCACATATACCATTTTCTCCCAAGTGAAAATAACTTGACTCCTCTCTTCAGCCTACAAATATACTTAGAAGTACCGATCAAAAACAAAACAAAACCCTCCTTTAAGATAGAGCCCCCAGTGCTTTATTTTCTCTAGTAAGTATTATCAAAGATGAATGGACACCTATGCATCCTCCTCCTCCTCAATGCACTGAAATCAGAGTCTGCCACCATTGCCTATAGAACAGTTTTGATATGGTTAATTCACTGGTTTCTTCTCAGTATTCATTTTATTTTATCTCAGAAAATTTCTTGTACCTTGTATCTCTGGAAATTCTGAGTACCTCTCACATCCATATTGGCTCATTTCTTCAAATTAAGTATATTCTGTTTTTTCCCTTATTTCTAATGATTCACCCTGTTGTATGTATGTGTGTGTGTTTACTGATTCAGCTCATTTTTCAAACGTAGGTATCATACAAGGTTTCACCCTTGAACCTCTTTCTCACCCTGTAGGTTTGTCTAGATGATTCAGCTTGTTACAATGGAATCAGGGCTCATCTCCGTATAGCCAACTTCTAAATCTCTTTCTCCCAGTTCCCACCAAGATGCCAGGTCTGTATTTCTAGTCATTGACCAAATACTTCCTTCTTGATATATACTTTAGTCTGCATGTCAAACTCATTATCCTTCTCCCTTTTCCCAAACATCTTTCTTCCCCTTTTTGGTGTTCTTAGTAGCCAAGCAAGCAGAAATCTTCGGGTCATCATTGACTTCTCCACTCTTCTTCAACTGTCATCTTCATGAAGAGGATCTAACTGATTACAAGTCTGAAATATCTCTCCATCCATTCTCTTCCATCTTAATTTTCACTTTCTTCATTTAGGCCTCGTTTTTTCTTTTTTAAAATATTTTGCCTCTTAACGAAGTCTCTGCTTTGGTCTCTCAATTCAAATCCATCCTGTTACATATGACGCTAAGGAAATAAAAACACTCCCCTACTATTTATGCCTACCCTTTGCCTGGAAAATCAACTCTAAACTCTTTGACATGGCATTTGAGACTAACTAATCTCTTTCCAACCTGTTTTTCTAGTAACTTCTGCCTACACCCTTCTCTCTCTAGAACATGTTACACACTTTAAATTTCATGCTTGGGATCCCTGGGTGTCGCAGCGGTTTGGCGCCTGCCTTTGGCCCAGGGCGCAATCCTGGAGACCCGGGATCGAATCCCACGTCGGGCTCCCGGTGCATGGAGCCTGCTTCTCCCTCTACCTGTGTCTCTGCCTCTCTCTCTCTCTCTATCATAAATAAAAAATTAAAAAAAAATAAATTTCATGCTCTAGTTCATGGTGTTGTTCCCTCTACCTGTTACAGTTGTTCTTCATTTGTCAAAAGCCTGTGTATCTTTTGGGCTCAGTGATCTATCACTTTCTCTACAGCACTTTCCCTACCCTGCCTTCCAAATACAATTAACCCTTCATTCTTCTGTACTCTTCCACTTCTATCAAAATTAAAGCATTATAAGTATTTATCTCCTCCACTGCATTAGACTCAAGGGGAAAAGGTCTTATGCATTTTGATTCACTTATGCTTCACACAGTGCCTGACACATAGGGGGTAACCAGTAGGTACTGAACAGACCTATTCCTGATTTATGTAGTAAACAGAACAAACTTTAAGAATAATCCTCATCTAGGTTTTGCTAGAATCAAATAAAAGTCATTTGGCTTTGGATAATAGTAAAAATATACCTAAAGATGAATTATCCATTGCAATCCTTTCAGTTTTAAGTAAATCATATAGCTAATTTCTTTCTTGTCAGTTTAGAAGGAGGCAGGAAACAGCTGTATAAAAATCCAGTCAAGTATCTGTAAAAATACATAGAAAACAAATGTAAGACCCTTACTAATACTATTACAATATCAAGGTAAGGATCATTAAGTCTACTAAAGTCTTTTCTATATTGAGTCAAAGACATTGTGAAGATTAAAAATAATATTAATTCAGTTAAGAGTAAACTTAAGGAAAACTAGATGTATGCTAAAGGGTCAGCACTAAATCACTATTCATTGGATGTCTTTGCATAAGTCTAAGAAAAATCATCTGAAACAAATACTAATTTAATGAAATTATACTCAATCTTACTCTGTGACTATAGATTAGGTATCAGTAAATTACAGCATGTGGGCCAAACCTGCCTGGCGCCTTACCTGTTTTTGTAAATAAAGTTTTATTGAAACACATACTCATTTGTTTGTGTTGTTACTGTCTGCTTTTGCTCTACAATGGCAAAGCTAAGTAGTTGAGATAGAGACTGTATGTACCACAAAGCCTAAAATATTTACTATCTACCCTTTAAAGAAAATTGGCCAACCCCTGTTATGGATAATCAGTTAGAAATTTAGTTGAAAACCAAGCCAGTTTGGATATGTAAGGACTTTTTATTATCCTAGATTTAGAATCTTTATACAAAGATTTCTTCTCAAAAATCAAAAGAATAAAAAAAGAAAGGTACAAAGATGTTATGATAGGAAATATACTGATGTCAAGTACATAGGAGATAGATGGTATACATACAGGATACCATACATATTCTTTTTTAAAGAATAAATAATTTTATTTTTATACATATATGCTGGCCTGATCATTCTTCATTAGTTAGGAAAAGGAGTGGCTATTCTTTATATTAGAGCATGTTCATAAAAATTAAGTTTTCTAGGGACGCCTGGGTGGCTCAGCGGTTGGGCGTCCGTCTGCCTTCTGGCCCAGGGTGTAATCCTGGGGTCTCGGGATCGAGTCCCACATTGGGCTCTCTGCATGGAGCCTGATTCTCCCTCTGCCTGTGTCTCTGCCTCTCTCTCTCTGTGTGTGTCTCTCATAATAAATAAAAAAAATATTTTTAAAAATTAACTTTTCTATTTCTATTACTCCACTGAAAAGCAGAAACTTAATTCTTCCTACAAGAATAAAGGGGTAAAGTTAAATATAATTAATTATTTTTTAAAATAAGGGGAGGGAAAGTTGGAAACAGGGAAAAGGGGAGAGCTAAAAGGAGAGAAAGAGCCTACTGACCTCATTCTCTAATTGATATGAAGCCAATCTGTGTACCAAAATTAAGGCCATCTCGGACATGGGAGAAAAACTTGTCAGGATGGCAAGATGTACAGAGGTTAAGATCTCGGTTCAGGTCCTGAATATTCTGTGGTAGAATTCCTCCTCGTTCTAGAAGAATCCTTAGGATAAAGATTTTTCGAAAGACACTTAGAGTTTATTTTACCACTAACCAAAGCAGTTAAAAAAATATATGGATATTGGCATAAAAGAATTCTGGGAGAGATCTGCTTGAAACAATGCAAACTGGTTTTCAGATATAAAACATGAACAAGTCAGGAAATCGTAGATTTTATCACTTTAATCACCTAAGTTCATATATGAACTATAAAACCTTCCATATTGTCTGGCAGACATGACCTGGGTCCAGAATTTTATAATCAAACTCAAGTACTTATTTAGAAGAAACTTCTAAAGTTACCAGAGTATTGCAGATAAGATTCATTTGATTCAGATAGAGCATGCTTTTTATCATTTGGCCCTCCCATTTCTTGTCCTATTAACAGATTTTTCACAGATAAGTTGCTTCTCCATAAACACTTTACAAACATGAAGTATGACTATAAATTAATGATACTAATTCCACAAGTCACATTTAATAATCAATTTCAATCCTTTCTACTTATGTGCTAAGTGAGGCAGAATCTGGGCAAGGTTTTGCTGACTGGAATCGAAACACAATTCAAATCAGGCAATTTTCTTTTGTAGAAATGACAAGTAACAGCTATTAATAGCAAAACTTCATAATTCAAAATTGCAAGGGAGCACTGAAAGATTGAAAGTGACTACATGCTTATATTGTCTAACATTTTTGCTAAAAGAATATATTCCTCTAATTAATTACAGAATAAAAATAACCATCTTCCGGATAGTTTATTATATTTAGATTTTAGCTGAAGAAGGGCTACGAAGCACATGGCAACTTTTCTATATGAAGTTTAAGTAGATCTCTCAAAACCAAATGCCAAATATTATCTTCCTTCACTTTTAAGTCAATAAGACATAACAGGAAAATTTCTGTTATTCAAACTTAAATGAAAATAGGTTTCCTAATCAAAATAAGTTTTTGTATATATGTGTACATCAGCTACTTATTTATGTACCACTTCAATTTTTCTTGGAGTTACTAATTATTGTCTACAATAATTTTCATTTTAGAAACAATAAGCAATATCTAAACTTTCAGTTCTGGAATAAAATCAAACATACCTGGTGGCTTTACGAATGTCAACATAGGGATCTGGTGAATCAAATAACCGTACACATTCAGGATCAAGATTATGAAATTCCTTTGCTGATTCCCTTGGCAAAGTAAAACAGCAAGGTCCTACTGAAGGTCCCAGTACAACAATGATGTCTTCCAGACTACAGCCATATTCTGTGACCATAGCATTAACTGTAGCCATAGCAACACCTAACAAAGTACCCTTCCAACCTGGTAAATAGAAAGAAAAAGAGGTAAGGGAAGTTGAAACATTTCACAGTAATTTATTTTCTAACTTAAAAAATGAGCAATTTATGTATTCTTCAAACCCCAGGAATAGCAAATCACAAAATCAATTAATTAAGCTATATAATCAATTAACTAAAATACTCATTTATTTTTAAAGATTTTATTTACTTATTCATGAGAAACACAGAAAGAAGAGGCAGAGAGAGAGAAGCAGGCTCCCTGCAGGGAGCCTAATGTGGGACTAGATCCCAGGACCCCGGGATCATGACCTGAGCCAAAGGCAGATGCTCAACCACTGAGCCCCAGGAGTCCCAAAATACTCGTTTTTAAATGAGGTACACTATGCCAAGCACCTGATATAGGAAAGATATTTAATGGGAGATTCTTCCACTTTCTTTAAAAATATTCTACACTTTCAGTTTCCACTGAGATTATACCTTTGTAGTGTTCTCTCTCTCCTTCACTTTATTTTCACATTTTTAAAAATGGGGTGGGGGAATAAATAACATAAAATTTGCCATTCTATTTTCAAATGTATACTTCAGTAGTGTTAAATATATTCACATTTTGTGCAACCAAGCTCTAGAACTTTTTCATCTTGTAAAGCTGAAACTCTATACCCATTAAGTACAACTCTCCCTTACCCCTACCCCCTCCGGCCCCTGGCACCCACCATTCTACTTTGTTTCTATAAATTTAACTACGTTAGATATTTTATGTAAGTGGAATCTTACAGTGTCTTGTGACTGACTTATTACATTTAGTGTAATGTCCTCAATGTTCTTTTTTTTTTAATTAATTATTTATTTATTTATTTATGATAGTCACAGAGAGAGAGAGAGAGGGGCAGAGACACAGGCAGAGGTAGAAGCGGGCTCCATGCACCAGGAGCCCGACGTGGGATTCGATTCCGGGTCTCCAGGATCGCGCCCTGGGCCAAAGGCAGGCGCCAAACCGCTGCGCCACCCAGGGATCCCGTCCTCAATGTTCTTATTTAAATAGGTGTCAAGATTTCCTTCCTTTCTAATGCTAAATAATATTTATATCACGTTTTGCTTATATATTTATTCATCCATCTATGGACACCTGGTTTGCTTCCACCTCTCTGCTATTATGAATAAACCTGCTATAAGCACAGGTGTGCAAATATCTTGTCACAATCCTGCTTTTAATTTTTTTGGATATATACCCAAAAGTAGAACTGCTGGATCATATGGTAATTCTATGTTAAAATTTTTGAAGAACCACCATACTATTTTCTATAGCAGCTGCACCATTTTACATTCCCACCAATTGTGCATCAGGGTTCCAGTTTCTCCACATCCTCACCAACATTTGTTATTTTCTTTTTGTTTTTTTTTTTTTTAATATGAGCTATCCTAATACGTGTGAGGTTATATCTCATTGTAGTTTTGATATGCATTTCCCTAATAGTGACATTAAGCATCTTTTCACATGGTTGTTGGCCATTTGCTTATCATGTTTGGAGAAATGTTTATTCAAGCTCTTCATCCATTTTTATTTGGGTTATTGCTTTTTTGTTGTTGTTGAGTTGTAGGAGTCTTTTATATAGTCTAAACATTAACCCTTTATCCGATATATGAATTGCAAGAATTTTCTCCCTCTCTATGGGTTGCCTTTTAGCTTTGTTGACTGTGTCCTTTGATGCACAGTTTTTAAATTTTGATGAATTCCAATTTATCTGTCTTAACACAGCATCTAAAAATCCCTATCTTTGGAGAATAGTTAAAGGCACTAGACCATAACATATTAAACTAAATGCTGTGTTGCTTTGCTTGCTTTTTCTTACCTCCATACCTTTACTCAGGATGCTGCCCCTTCATCTTCATGAATACCTTTCTCCAGCACGTCTTATCTTCCTATTCCCCATTGCTTAGACTTCAAAGGTTTTCAATCAGAGGCAGTAACACTTTGGAATGTTTTGAAAAGCATCAAGGGTTTTTTGTTTTTGATTTGTTTTTGGTTATTATAACTGGAAGAGCTACTGGTATTAGAAATTTTGAAAGCCAAGCAAACTGCAATATAAGATTATCTTGTCCAAAATGTTACAGAAAATGCTGAGAAACACTGGCACCTAGTCAAGTCCTACAACAAACTCCTCAGGAATCATCCTGGGGAAAAAAAAAAAAAAAGGAATCATCCTGGGTACTGCTTCCTTTGGGAATTCTACTTTGATTCATATAACTCAGGTACTGCTTGTATCTGCTCCTGTAATAAAAATATGCTGGCTCTACTCCTATTTATATACTTAATACCATGTAAAGTAATTAACTGTCATGCCCACCAGAAATAAATTATAATTTTTCTTGTACTATAAAACTGGTAAAATCCTAAATGTGTAATTAAATATACTTACCAGAATGGGCAACCCCACATGCTTTTTTGACAGGATCAGCAAAAACAATTGGCATACAGTCAGCACCAAGAGCTGCTATTGTGACTCCTCTCTGATTTGTGGTGATTCCATCGTAAGATTCGGGTTCCTTCCTTCCCATAATCCAGACGTCATTGGCATGATCAGTCTAATACCAAAGATGTTTGAGAAAAATATTTTGAAAGTAGAATTTCTCATACCATAAGCTTTTTCCGAAGATGTTCTTTTGTACAAAATTATATATCCAGTATAATATTACTAGCAAGCATTAAAAATATTACTTCTATATATGGTAAAACATCAAATTTACTTGTCATTTAACTTCTGATATTGTAATCTCTGCATATTTTACTCCAAGGAAAGCAAACTTTAACACTTAAAAATTTAATACAGTCCATCATGAATACCTCCTACTAGAGATGAAGAAATCTCCACCTGTAGCACTTTCCATATAGTACTATTTATGGAAAGAAGTTAATTACCAAATTAAAGATATTTTTTATTTTTCCTGACCCAAATAAAGCTAGGACTCTGTAAGAAACAAGGCATCAGTAATGATCCTAGTTCCTCCTAATGTTGATTTAGAAAATAATGGCTTTTTTCTCTCACCATTCTGGAATCTTCCTTCTAAATCAAAAAGGGTAGTGCTACTATACTCTGAGAATTAACTGTACTTTTAGACACAAGGAACTTCAGGTAAAAGATGTCTGTCATAGGATTGATTTTTAGACCATTAGTGTACAGATCTAGGAAAAACAACCATAAGCATTATCCTAAAAATTTGGGATAAAACACCAGATGCAAAAGTTAAATAGCTTGTTTCAAGTCCATGTAGTCATTAGCACAGTCAAGAATATACTTTAGATCTTCTAAAACGTGAAACAAAATTTTACCTTTATTCGGTAAAATTTCTCCACGTTAAATCCAGCAGCATTCCCCAACCTACGCAGATTTTCTTGAACCACCACCTTGGGATCTCTCCGTTTGGAACTACTGAAGAGATTGAATGAACTAAGAGTTGGGATGTAAGATATTCCACCTGTTCTTGTAGTAAATCCATGTAAAAAAATATCTGCTGAATAGAAGTAGTAAAGATTAAAAATAAACCATGCAAAAGACTATAAAATGTTACAAACCCTCCGATTTCTACAGCTCCGTGTACCTCCATGTGTTCTTGTTACACATGACTTTGTGTTTGCTTTACCTTCCCCATGGGATTATTGCTCTTCAAAGAGTATCCTCTGTCCCACTTGTCTTTATTATTCCTAACAGCATATAGCCCACGGTAAATATCGTTTAACCAAAGAGTAACATTGACTATTTAAAATTTCATTCTTGGGGATCCCTGGGTGGCTCAGCGGTTTGGCGCCTGCCTTTAGCCCAGGGCATGACCCTGGAGTCCTGGGATCGAGTTCCACGTCGGGCTCCCTGCATGGAGCCTGCCTCTCCCTCTGCGTGTGTCTCTCCTTCTCTCTCCCTCTCTGTATCTCTCATGAATAAATAAAATCTTAAAAAAATAATAAATAAATAAAATAAAGAAAATTTCATTCTTCTGTGAAGGTGCCAATGAGTTAAGGTATCAGAATTTTTAAATAAGAGATGTTTAGTGGTTTAGTGTCATAAATCTCTTTTTAAAGGAAGGCCGGGGGGGGGGGTTTGTCTTAAAGCTGAATTTGCATAAAGAAAATTTATTTATCTAGGGGGGCTTTGAAGGGACCATCCCTTGATATCCCTGACCTCTCATATTAGTGAGCTCATAAATCTTATAGTTGGGATGGGGGGGGTGGTTGAGGGGCCTCAGCAGTTGAGCGTCTACCTTTGGCTCAGGGCATGATCTCAGATTCTGGGGGGGGGGGGGGGGTTGTGGGGTGGGAATCAAGTCCCACATCAGGCTCCTTCCACCTGGAGCCTGCTTCTCCTCCCTCTGGCTGTGGTGTCTCTGCCTCTCTTTCTGTGTCTCTCATGAATAAATAAATAAAATCTTTAAAAAAAAATTCCTATAGTCTACAAGAGAAAGGTGGGGAAAAAAGGTGAACAACCTCTAAAGCAAGACTGTTTCTTCATGTATATAGTAAAAACAACATGGTGTTCAACATACCTGAGATCAACGGAGATGTGATAATGGTCAACTCTCCTTTCAGTGCTGGCAGACTTCTCAAATACGTTTGTATTTCATTCTGGATTGCTTCTACTTCTTGAGCTGTGATCATGCTTACTTCAGTGGATTGTTTCAAAAGACCTCCCCTCGAAGTCACCTGTAAGTCTTCAAACTCAAAATTGTAAACACTGGTGAAGAGTTGATCAATAAAAGCCTTCAGTAACGTCTTCCGGTGCATGGATACAATTACCTTAATGCTGCTCAAATTTTTTTCATCAATTTTTTGCTTAATAGTATACAAAGAGGCAGCCATACTAGGATTGCTAACAGTCTCAAATTCTCTCAAGAGAGTTGATAATCCATTGCTTCCTTCTAATTCACAGTTATTATGTGCACCATCCCTTTCACAGCTGATGTTATTGTAACACATTATGCAAAGAAACTTAGCCTTGGCAGCATGGTGGAATCGGACAGTGTCCAGTGTCTTCAGCAAGGCTTGATGACTATTTTTCTGAGAGTTAAACTGCAAACCAAAGAAATCAATCAACACTGCTTCTGCCATCCTTCCACAAAGGTACAAAGCCCTTCAAAAATGATTTCTGCGCCTCCCAGGAAATCACCTGTAAAGAAAAATTAGCCGAAGAACGCAAGGTCGTATCAATCTTCTTATAGTCACGACAGAAATTTGTACCTACGTTTTTTTTTTTTTTTTAAACAGGATTTTTTTTTAAATTTTTATTTATTTATGATAGAGAGAGAGAGAGAGAGAGAGAGAGAGAGAGGGGCAGAGACACAGGCAGAGGGAGAAGCAGGCTCCATGCACTGAGAGCCCGACATGGGATTTGATCCCGGGTCTCCAGGATCGCGCCCTGGGCCAAAGGCAGGCGCTAAACCGCTGCGCCACCCAGGGATCCCTGTACCTACGTTTAAAAGAAAAAGTTTCACTGATCTAAAAAAAAAACATAACCTGGGTGGCTGGGGAATCCCTGGATGGCTCAGCCGTTTAGCACCTGCCTTTGGCCCAGGGTGTGATCCTGGAGTTCCCCAGATCGAGTCCCACGACGGGCTCCCTGCATGGAGCCTGCTTCTCCCTCTGCCTCCCTCTCTCTCTCTCTGTCTCTCATGAATAAATAAATCTTTAAAAACATCTTAAAAAAATAAAAATAAATAAAACCATAACAAAATAGTCCATTATTTGGCTTAAGAGAACCATGAGCCCTGAACCATCTCTTAATTCACTTCTCAGGAAAGTGATTTTGTGCATCTTTCCAGCAGAACAACAGTTCCAGTTTCTGCGTGTGATTCTTTTTTTTTCTTTTTCTTTCTTTTTTTTACACAGCAAATTCTAAGTAGGGAATTACTGGACTTAGACAAAGTCCTGCTTTCTAATTACAGGGTGTCAATTTATGTTACAAGACATCATTAATCCCGACGTGACCGGCATGTTGGGTCCCACCTCTTCCTAAGAAATAGGTTCAACGGAGCTGCCCCGAAAATGCACGCTTTTAAGGGGGAAAAGGCTGAGACGACCCCGGGAGCCCAGACGCGCGGCCTCCCACGGCTCCCGCCACAGGGGGCGCCGCCTCCCCCGCCCGGCCGCGACCTGCTGACCCGCGGACCCGCCGCCCGCCCCCCCCCGCCCCCTCGCCGAGGACCCCCCGCCTCGGCCCCGAGGGAACCCGGAAGCGACGAGCGCCGCGCTCGGAGCCCTGAGCCCGACCCCGCCGCGCCCGCCCCGCCCTCCTCACCCACCTCACCCGCCGACCGGCCACCGGCGCCCCGCCCGGCGGGAACTCGACGGCTGCGGCCCCGCGGCTTCGGAGGGCCGGGCCGGCCGGCGCCCCGCAGGGAAGGGCGGGCGAGTTCGGGGGCCCGGCGAGGCCGCCCTCCGCCGCCCGGTGGAGGGAAGAGAAACAGGAACAGAGGCTCGTAGCCCGAGCGAGCCCCGTCAGCTAGCGGGGGCCGGGGCGGGCCTGGAGCGGGGCCTGGAGCGGGGCCGGCGGGCGGCGAGCCCGGGAGGGGGCGGGGCGAGGGCGAGGGGGCGGGGCGAGGGCGAGGGGGCGGGGCGAGGGCGAGGGGGCGGGGCGAGGGCGGGGCGAGGGCGGGGCGGGGCGGCTCACACGCCCGCGGGGCTTCTGACGTGCTGGCGGGCAGGTGAGGGCGCCGGGCGGCTGGAAGGAAGGCGGGCCCGTGAGGGGGCGAAGGGGCGAGGGGACGGGCCCGGGAGGGGGCGGGGCGGCGGGCAGGTCCGCGGGAGGGCCCGTGAGGGGGGGGAAGGCGGGCCCCTGAGGGGCGGGGCGGCTGACTGGCCGGCGGGGCTTCCGACGGGCTGGCGGGCAGGCGAGGGGCGCCGGGCGCCTGGAAGGCGGGCCCGTGAGGAAGGGGGAGGGGAAGGGGGCGGCGGGCTGACAGGCCTGCGGGGCTAATGACGGGCTGGCGGGCAGGTGAGGGGGCGGGCGGCGGGCGGACCCCTGAGGGGACGGGGCTGCTGAGGGCGGGCAGACCCTCGTGAGTAGCCGGGCGGGCGGCGGCCGGGCCCGTGAGGAGGCGGGGCGGCTGACAGGCTGGAGGGCAGGTGAGGGGGCGGGCGGGCGGGGGGGCCGCTGAGGGGGTGGGGGGAGCCGGGCGGGGGCGGGACGGCGGGAGGGCGGGCCCGTGAGGGAGCGGGGCTTCTGACAGGCCGGCGCGTGGGTAAGGAGAACCGGGCGGCGGGAAGGCGGGCACGACCCCGAGGGGAGCAGGGCGGGCGGCGGGCGGCGGGCGGGCCCGCGAGGGGGCGGGGCGAGTGACGGGCCGGCGAGGAGGTGGGCGGGGCCGGCGAGGAGGTGGGCGGGGCCGGCGAGGAGGTGGGCGGGGCCGGCGAGGGGGCAGAGCCCGGCGGCCTGAGGGCGGGTCCGTGACCGGGAGGCGGCCGGCGGCTGACAGGTTGGCGGGCTGGTGAGGGGAGCAAATCGCAGACGACCGTTTGCTTCCGGATGGCAGTCCTCCCCGCCAGCCCGCTGCCCCAGCCCTCGAGGGCCAGCAGTGCGGGCCGGCCCCTTGGTTTAGCCCCCGGAGCCCATCCATCCTTGAGAACCCGCTCGTGTTAGCGCTTGGAGACTCGCCCCATCCAGGGTTCCAGTAATCGGCCTCCGGGGTGGAGTTCGTTTGTAGTTCTTGGTGTTTTTTGTTTTTTGTTTCTTTTTTTTTTAAGTGCGGTTTTTGTCGTCGTTGTTCCCAGAAACACTTGGGAACAACCTTCCTTGCTGACCGGACTCACCAGGTCTTACGTGCCCATTTAAAAATACGGGCCCCTCACAGAAAGTTAGAAGGCAGTAACTCTAGAAGCGTGACAAATTAGCACCCTCGTCTAACCTCAAAGAGTACAGGTGTAGCGTACGTTTAGAAATATTGAACATCTACTACGTGGAAGGCAGGTGCTAACTAAGGTAAAGGGAAAATGTGTCCAGCCCTCAAGAGTAGGAGAGAGAGTGCTTCGTGTGCACCTGGTTGTGATGGAAAGAGAGGCCCCTTTTGTCTTCATTGTTGCTCAGGTGATACATGCTGAAGAAATTTCGCCTGCAAGAGAAAAAGTCCTAGATACCTGGGAGTTTAGAAGAGCACTTGGAGATGGGCAAGTGCTCCATTCTATTTGACGAGGGGTAATGGGATCCCCAACCCAGGATAGGAACTTGCTGTTCATATCCCTGGCAGATATTTTTGTCAAAATTTGTGTTTTCATGATTTCTGTAGGGCATTTGTCAAGAACCCTAGCAGTAGATGGTACACCTGATCGGAAGGTGCACACTGCACTCTCTGAGTCTGTTTTATGTTAAGTATTACCTTGAGCAAAATAGAGGTCTTTTGAGTTACAGCGCTGGATTAAAATATTTATCCCTGTTTTTTATAGACAATGGTGGGAATTCTTTTTTTTTTTTTTTAATGAAACAGTAGGGGCAGTAAAAATTTTTTAAGTATTTCAAAGTGGGAAAGCTGCCAGGGAAGAGATTGTTATTGTGTTATATTTACATACTGTTTCCTAGACTATCTAGCCTCATCCCCTAACTCTTCCCTCATCCTCATTCACCCCACTCCAGTGGTTCTCCTGGCTGCACATCAGAACTACAAGTAGAACTTAAAAACAAATCTAGGGACTCCACTTGATATACATTTGAAATAGAATCTCTGGGAGTCGAGTCTGGGCTTGTTTTTCTTTGCTGTTTATTTTGTTTTTAATCTATACAGATGATTCAGATGCTTAATTAGGTTTGAAAAAACAACTGCCTGACTCCCAAGCCACTCAAACTAAAAAAGGCTGTTACTTGGATGAGCTACAAGATTTTATCCTTTACATATGCTATTCCTTGTACTTAGAACACCCTTCTCTTTTTATGCTTACTTAACTGCTACTTGTTTAAGATCTTTCAAGCTCAATCATAACTTTCCTTGAATCCCCATTCTCTCACCAGAATTAATTGCTTCTTCCTTAGCATTTTGTCCATACAGATGAAGGCCTCTCATTGATGCAGTCTGGACCCATAGCCTAATAATAAATTGAAAAAGTCAATTAAACATTGAAGTGTATGCTTTATAAGGATGAACTTGATAGTACATAAATTTTTTCTAGGTTTTTTTTTTAGAAGTCATTTTAACCAGCACAATAACAGGTACAACTGGCATAAACAGGTTTGGGAACAAACACAGGTAACTCACTGTCAAACTGTACAATTCAAGTGATAGGAGCAGAAGTAGGCAGATTCACTGGAGAGTGGTTTCCTAACCGTTCAGCATGATGTGGAAATTAGCAGCTTATGATTTACAAAGAAAATAGAATGAGTTAATTGATGAGAGGTTAATTGATGAGAGGTAGACTAAGAGAGTGACTACTATACATCTACATTTGAATTATTTGACATGGTGTCTATCTCCCTTAAAGAGACCTAGAGCATTTTGAGGACAGAGTTGATACCTGGCTGTTCAGGAAACCGCTGGAGAAATCCCCAGAAGTTCTTTAATTTTAATTTTTATTTATTTGAGAGAGAGAGCATGTGCACATGCAAGAGGGGACAGGCAGGGAGAGGGAATCTTAAGCAGACCAAGCTGAGAGTGGAGCCTGGGGCAGGGCTTCATCCGATGATCCTGAGATCATTACCTGAGCCAAAACCAAGAATCAGATGGTTAACCAACTGTGCCACCAGGCACTCTGAAATCTCCAGAAGTTGTTACATCACCATATAAATCTTAAAAGAACAAGTGGAATTTTCAAAAACTGTAAACAGTTGTTTTTAAGCCATTCACACTAAGATTCATGGGTCTTTCCAGAAAAGTAAATATAATATTGCAAATTTCCTTGTTAAAAACCTTGTGTTAGCTTCCTAAGGCTTCCATAGCAAATTACCACAAACCAGATGGCTTAAAGCAACAAAAATTTGTTCTCTCATAGAAACAGAAGTCTCAAATCTAAGTGTTGTCAGGACCATGTTCCCTTCAAAGTGTCTCATTTTCCTTGCCTTTTCCAGTTTCTGGTGGCTCCAGGTGTTTGTTTCTTAGCTTGGAGCTGTGTGACTTGGGACTCTCATATCTTCATCCTCATATGGTTTTAATGTGTGTCAGAGTTTCAAATCTCCCTCTACCTTTCTGCTATAAGAACACCTGTGGAAATAATGACCAACCATATGAGAACAAGCAAAGGTTATTTATTCAGAGTTTGCTACGGCAGGAGAATCAGCCATCACTTTTGTGTTGGCAGAGTAGCAAAGTTTCATAGTGGAGAGAAGGAAAATCTTCAGTGATACCCCAACTTGAGGCTCTTGGCATGGGGAAGCTGTAGGTAGGTTAACTAAAGCAGGACATCCTATGTGATTGGTTAAGAGTGTGCATTTTGGCTTTCTCTGATTGGTCCCAAGTTGGAAGTGGGGACAGACATTAGGGAAGCTGTTAGTTATTCATCAAACACCGGTTATTTGGGGCCAGTTGTTATAGGACTTATTGTTTAGCTTCTGGAATTGTTATTAGAGATAGTGGTCTGGCTTCCTATGAGTCTGATATAGATAGCTGGATGGCTTCCTGCTCTGGTGACTATAGATAGCAGGATGGTTTTCTGAGTTGGTTGCTGCAGGTTGTGGGTGAAAGTGCTATATTATATATATATATATATATATATATATATATGTCCGGCCACTGTTCACATAGTCTCTTAGCTGTCACTGGATTTAGGGCCCACCCTAAATCCAGGATGATCTCGTCTCAAGACTCTTAACTTATTTACATCTGCAAAGATCATTTTTCCAAATAAGACCATATCACAACTTCTGGAGGTTAGGAATGGACATATTGGCAGGACAAAGGGACACCATTCAATCTACTACAAGCTTCTCGTGGTTTAGAAATCATACTTACAGACTAAAAGAAGACCTTCCTTCTTACTGTTTCTGAATAAAACAAGCAGGTAGGTTATGACTGGATTTCATCATAGCCTATCATTTCTATTTGAAACAGTGGCCTAGCTATCCCTTAAAGCTTGGACTCAAGTTGCTGATCAGTCTCTATGTTTATACTTTAAAACGAGACATTTGGTAGTCCAGTCCTATTACAACATCCAGAGAAATCTCACTTTGGGTAGAAAGCTAGAAGCAATGTGGATAATGTATTGTCTTTGATAGGAGGTTGCCTATATTATCTTTGATAGAAGTTAAGAAACAGATCCTTTGAGTTTTTTGTTTTGTTTTTGTTTTCAGCATCTTGAAACTTTAATCTCATTGCCTAGTCAAAGAAGAGAATAATGCCTAATTTTAGCAGATCCTAACACACAAGTATATAATAGGTATTAATAAATTTTTAATGATTCAATAATTAATTCCTTTGGAAGACTCTGCTAATGTTGTAACTATGGTCTTTTTTACCTGAAGTATGTATCATTCTTACTCATTTGTACAATGTACCACATTTTTCCCACTATTATCTTTACTTTGTTGGAATTGAACCACTCAGATTTGATTTCATCATGTTTGTGACAAATATAGGCCATAATTTAAAATTTGCTTGATTCTGGGGAACTCTTTTATCTTTTCTTTCTCCAGGCTAATTTTTTTTAGCTTTCTCAGTTACATATCAGCTTTAGAAATTAAGGTACCCTGCCCACTTAGAAAACAAAAATAATTTCACACAAAGAAAAATTATCTGTTTTCTGATAAAGTATCTATTCTAAAAGGGTAGAATGAAATTATAAACTTAATTACTTTAACTACCTAGCAGGTTCACATGACAGCTTTTCCCATTCAGAATGAAAAACAGTGCTTATGTGATGTGGGTGCACATATACAATTGCTTCCTCTTAATTCTTCTAAGCTAAAAGCTCTCAAAAGCCCCAGAGGAGTTTGACAGCCTTGCTTTATTTTGCTCATTAACTTAGACGAGGTACCAGATGATGAGTTTCCAAAAGCTGGAACCATGGCCTTTTTAAATTCTCCCAAGAGTCAAATAGAGGGGCTTGCCTCTTCAAAGCAAAAGAGATAATGCACAAATCTAAGTGCTTAATAAATGTTAATTTGGATACTAATTGTTTCAAATTCCATCCTTCCCACTTGTTGGATGTAAGGCCTTTGGCTAATTTCTTAATTTCTCCAACTCTTAGTTTACTCATCTACAAAATATATGTAAAAATAATATCCAGCTTATAGGATTGCTTTGAGGGAAAATAAAGATAATTAATGTAAAAACACTTACAAAAAATGCTAATTATTTGTAAGTACTCAATAAATGTTGACTATGGTTATAGAAGAATGGTAGTTTATTATAGTATTTGCATTACATTGTTTTCTGTAAAGCTAACCTTTTTTTAGTTGAAAGTATTTTTTCTAAATGATTGTGTTTTATATATAAGTTGGACATTTACCATTGAATACCGTAGATAATGTTTTTTTCATTAGACATTTAATTCATCTTTTTTTTAAAGATTTTATTTATTTATTCATGACAGACACACAGAGAGAGAGAGAGAGAGAGAGAGAGGCAGAGACACAGGCAGAGGGAGAAACAGGCTCCGTGCAGGGAGCCTGACGTGGGACTTGATCCCTGGTCTCCAGGATCACACCCTGGGCTGAAGGCAGCGCTAAACCGCTGGGCCACAGGGGCTGCCCTTAATTCATCTTTATATTCCTCACAATACTTTGCACATTACCATTACATGTATCCACATATGTGGTTTGAATGAAAGAGTAATTGATACTGTCTAGTCTCTAAACTCTGATTTTCATTGATTTACACATTTTTAATGAATTATCAGTAGATGGCAGTAGTTTGTTTTCATTTTTATCTTTTGTCCATTCTCCAGTAGAGATCCAGAAGAAACTTAAACTTTGCCAATTTTTTTTTTTTTAGATTTTATTTATTTAAGAGTGAGAGAGCACAGGGGAGGTAAGGGGAAAGGAACAGAGAAAGAGGGAGAAGTAGACTCTGAGCAGGAAGCCTCACTTGGTGCTCAATTCCACACAAGACCAAATCATGACCTGAGCCAAAGGCAGATGCTTAACTGACTGAGCCACCCAGGTGCCCCTAAAACTTTCCCACTTTTAAAGCAAATATCCTTTCACAAACAGCTTAAATAAATGTCACTCAAGAGTTTTTCAATTTATGTTGCTTCAGAAATAGAGATCAAGAAGTGCTAGTTATATTTTTATTATTAAATCTATTTTTTTTTATTTATGATAGTCACACAGAGAGAGAGAGAGAGGCAGAGACACAGGCAGAGGGAGAAGCAGGCCCCATGCACCGGGAGCCCGACGTGGGATTCGATCCTGGGTCTCCAGGATCGCGCCCTGGGCCAAAGGCAGGCGCCAAACCGCTGCGCCACCCAGGGATCCCTAATTTCATTTATTGATTCATGAGACACAGGGAGAGAGAGGTAGAGACATAGGCAGAGGGAGAAGTAGGTTCCATGCAGGTAGCCCAATGTGGGACTTGATCCTGGGTCTCCAGGATCATGCCCTGAGCCAAAGGGCTGAGGCACCCAGGCATCCCTTTCTTTGTTTTTTAGATTTCTTCACCAAATTTTTTAGGGAATCCAAAAACAAGACATTATATTTACAGTTTAACGGAGCTTACAGTTAACGGAGCTTACAGTTTAACAGAGCAGTGTAGTATAAAATAATGGAAATAATAAGATAAAAAACTGTCGAGTAGCAAGAATTTGCTAAATGCTGTCATGTAATTTTTTTAAGATTTTATTTATTTATTCAGGAGAAACACACACACACACACACACACACAGAAGCAGAGACACAGGCAGAGGGAGAAGTAGGCTTCCTGCAAGGAGCCTGATGTGAGACTCAATCCTGGATCCCAGAATCGCCCTTGAGCCGAAGGCAGATGCTCAACCAACGGCTGAGCCACCCAGGTAACCTGATGATGTCATAAATTATTTCATTTAGTCCTCACAGTTATTCTAATGAGTTAGGTACTACTATTATTTCTGTTTTATAAAGAATTTGAGGCCCTGCTTGGTAAGAATTTACCTAATAAATTAGTAAGTTGTACAACCTGAGTTCAAAGCTAGCTCTATCTTATTCTATGAACTAAATTGTTATCATGGTATAATAGAGATATAGAAACAATTGCACTAAAGAGAGGGAAGGATCATATCTAGCAAGAAAGATAAAAAAGACTTCTTAAAGAAGATGCCATCTGTGATACAGTTGAAAGATTGGCTGGAATGTTGACATGGTAGGAACAGTATTTTAGGAACATAAGTCTATCATTAGAACAAGGTTAATTGGAGAGGAGACAGACTACAAATAGACATCTATTAAGTAAGTGCCAGATACTGTTCTAGGTCTCTGCCCTCATAGAACTTACATTAATAAAAGGAGATAGAAAAGAAACAAGTGTATATAAAATATCAGTAGTGACAAATGCTAATAAGAAAGATGAGGCAGGACACCTGTGTGGATCAGTGATTGAGCTTTTGCCTTTGCCTCAGGGGGTGATCCTAGAGCCCTGGGATCGAGTCCTGCATCGGGCTCCCCACATGGAGCCTGCTTCTCCCTCTGCCTGTGTCTCTGCCTCTCTCTGTGTGTCTCTAATGAATAAAGAAATAAAATCTTAAAAAAAAAAAGAAAAGAAATATGAGGCAGAGTAAGAAAGTGGAGAATGAAGAAGGGGAGGTCAGGTCATGTTTTAAAGAAAATTAATCAGGGAAGACTTCTCTACTAAGATACTATTTAGAAATGGTAAGCAGTGACTGGATTCCAATATAATTTAAAGATAGAACCAATAAATTTTGCTAAAAGAATTACATGCAGCATATAAAAGTCAAGATTCTGGCTTGTCCTTTGGGTAAACAATTAGGGCAAAAGTCCAGGGCCACATACTTGGAAAATGTCTTACAGACACCTTGAAACATCAATAATGAGCTCTTGTTTATGATTATCTTGGGCAATTTTTGTTGAATTGCCATGGGCTCTACACTCTTCTAGAGACCTCTTTGCTAATGTCTCCAGGGTTTGGGGGCCTGAATAAGAAAAACCTGTAATTTATTGAAAGGAGGAGACTGAAGGAGGAGATTTAGTGATGGTGATGCAGTGAACAGAGATATCAAGAGTTCAGTGTGGAATATATTAAGTTGAAATTCCTGTAAAAATCTAAGTGAAGATATCACGTAGGCAATTTGGAATCAGTCTGGAGCTCAAGAAGGATGTTCAGGTTAGATATATAAATAGGATAAAACCTGTAAGTAGATTTTAAAGCTATGCAACTAGATGACATCACCTGAAGAATGACTATAGAGAACAGGCCTCAGGACTTAGCACTGGGACATTGACATATGAGAAAGCTGAGGAGGAACTAGCAAAGGAAACCCTAGACAGAGTCCATTAATAACTAATGACTCACTATATATGTAGTATATATGCTAACGTACTATATAGTATATGTGTATATATATATATATATATTATATACCCACACACTATTCTAAGCATGCTACGTGTATTACTTTAGTTAATTTTACATTACTTGCTACATATATCTTTAATTCTTTAATTTTATATTACTTTAATTATTATGACAGCCCTGTGAGGTTTTGCAGTTGAGGACCCTGATCAAAGAAGTTTAAAAACTTGCTCAAGATCATAACAGCTAAAAATCAGGAGAACCAAGATTCAAATAGAGTGCTATTTTCCTCCTAAACTCTCTCACTTAACCATTGTGTTTTAATTCTTGGAACTAATGATGAAATATCATTGCCATCCCTGTGAGATATTAGACAATTAATTTGTTTTCAGGATCACCAGGTTATATGACAGGGGAATAAACAAAACTGAAAAATTATCAAAATTTATTATTTTTGTAGGCATAAAAGAGGTGAACCAGAAAGGGAGAAAGACAGTAGAATGTCAGGCAACAAAGAAAGGAAGAGTCAAGGAGTTCCTGAAGAAGGTAATGAAGCAATCTCAAGAAATAAATAATTAAAAAATAAGCAGCAACAAAAAAGTAGTATGATAGAATAATTTTGTTAAAATATTTAGCCAAATAGAATAGAAGGAAGCCTTTAAATTTCTCCAGGAAGAAACTTACATGGTGTTTAGAAAAGGCATAACAACCTGAAAATGCAGGCCTATAATGATAATTCATCAGCTATAATTGCTATATAGTTGTTATGGTAGCACTGTAATTATGCATATGTGTAAGTGGTCTGGGTAAAAAAAAATGAGGATAATCAAAATATTTATACTGTTCCACACAGGAACAGGTTTAACATTACAGTAGGCATTTCTAAATTGTGTATTGTTAAAGCTTTTGATTTAGGTTTTGTTTATAGTCAGGGAATATTACTAACCCTAAGTCTATTTTATTAATGAGAAACATCATATTTTTCATGACTTTGAGTGAAGAAATAATATCTTTCTTAGAATGTTTACACTTAAATTTTTATTATGTACTTTATTCTTTTGTTCAGCTCTGGCTAACCAAGGCACATCTTCATTAACTGATGCAGTAGAACAAGTTGCAAAACAACAACAATCACAAACATCAGAAATAGAAAAAAACAAAAAAGTTCTATTACATTTGCAGGTAATCCACCTTATATAGTCTTTTAAACGAGTTATTACTTTCTTCAAAACTATATTAAATTGTTAACAGGAAAGTTATTAAGGATACTTAATTTTGAGAGGCTTTTTGAAACTCCTGGTTTTCATGTTTACTCCTTAATTATTCTGTTATCCAAAAGTAAAGTCTATATAAGTAATTCAGTTTCCTGGAACATTTTACACACCCAATATATAAGGATTCAGCAACGTCCTTACAACTGTAGTATGTACATATAAAACCCAATGTATCACCTAGAATTATTTTAAGCTCGCTTCTACTGATAGTTTTTCCTAAAATACTAAATTGAAGGAAGGTTAAGTTTTTAAAGCCACGGCTTGTGAGTTATAATTGTCAGTGTACATTTCAAGTTGATAGGAAACATTTTTGTGTTCCTTACATTTCATAATATATTCATAATTACACTGCAGGGAATCTGGAAGCCATGCTTGTTTTTTTGTATGCAGCACAATTAGATGTAACTATACTCTGTTAATGTAGCTAAAGAAGCAAAAATGGAAATGGTATCTTTACTGTGTGCTTTGTAAAGGTTATTATTAAATATATTATAGAAGTAACAAATAGGCTCTAGAGCCCAGCTATCTAGATTGAAAGAAGATTTGCTACTTTTGCTCCATGGTTTAATTTCTCTACCCTTCTTTTTTCATATTTGTAAAGTGGAGATAATTTATGACCTGCCTTCAAGGTTTTCATGAGGATTAAATGAATTAATATTTGTAAATATATGTAAAGTATCCTGCTGGGGCTCTGGTGGACAATATAGAGCTGGATTTTGATGTTGGCTTTAGGTATTAATGCATCAGCAGATATATGATAATAATAATTATACTGTCATGGTAATATGGTTCTCTTATAAATATTTGCATTGCATTTATCACTTTTAGAAAAGAATACTTTTTTGCAAGAATATAATACAAAAATAATAATGTCTTAGATTTTATAAAGACATTTTATGTAAAACTTCTGTCTTCAATGAGTTTCACAGATGTTATTTCACTTATATTGAGGGCCTACTTTCTATTAAGCATTTTGCTATTGTCCTGACTTGTCTATTGAAGAGGTCAGAAAAAAATAATCATACTCAAGGTAGAAAAGTGAACAATAGAGGCATGAACACGGATTTAACACTGAAGGAGGGATGATCACAAAGTGATGTTTCAGTTGAGCTTAAAAGAAGACAGCTGGAGTTTACTTGAATAATTGGGTATCTAGGACAGGTTTAAGGGTTAGGGGATGAGGAGGATGGTATCCTAGACAAGATCCTGAGAAAATTCACAGAGGCCTGAAGTAGCATCTGATACATTCATAGAACTACAGTTGATCCTTGAATAATGTGGCGTTAGGGGCACCAACCTCTGACGCAATTAAACCCACATATAACTTTGTCTCCCCAAAAACTTAATTACTAATAGCCTACTATTGAATACTTACCAATAACATAACAGTCACTTAAGACATATTTTGTAAGTTATATGTATTATATACTGTATTTTTATAATAAAGTAAGCTAGAGAAAAAAAATGTTAAGAAACCCACAAGGAAGAGAAAATAGATTTACAGTAACTGTACTATCTTTATATATATATATATATAAATTTGCCTATAAATGGACCCATGCAGTACAAATCTATGTTGCTCAAGGGTCAACTATATATGTAGTTTGTTGGCAGTATAGCATAAGGTATATTTTGAGAAGTGGTGGGAGATACATACTTTGATAAGAACCCTGGACGTTATTTTAAAGGTGACAGGAAGGTTTTGATGGGCTTTAAGCAAGAGAGCAAATGATTACATTTATATTTTGGAAAGAGAATTAAAGAAGCACAAAACAACACTTTTAATAATCTAACATTCATTCATGATAAAAACTCTAGCAGGAGAAGTTCCTTAATATGAAAAAGGGTATATATATCCCTTTATGAATCCCACAGCCAACTTCATACCTCATAGTGAAAGACTAAATGTTTCTCTCCTAAGATCAGGAACAAGGCAAGGATATGTGGTCTTATCACTTCTATTCTTTCTATGATACTAGTGGTTCAAGCAAGTGCAATCATGAAAGAAAAATAAATAAAAGGCATCCATATTGAAAGGAGGAAGTAAAACTGTTGTTATTCACAGAAGTAAGTACAACCACTTAGGAAACAGTTTAGTTTCTTAAAATATTAAAATATATTTACTGTATAATCCAGCCATTCAACTTCTAGATATTTGTTTACCCAAGAGAAATGAAGGTATATGCTTACTGGAAAACTGCATACAACCCAAATACCCATCAGAACAGAGTGTGGTATATCCAGAAATAGAATGCTACTCAGTGATATATCAGCACTGATATATACAACAATGCAGATGTATCCAGAAATAATTATGCTGAATGAAATATGTGAGACTAAAAAAGTATATATGATAAAATTCTACTTATGTAAAATTCTTGAAAATGCAAGCTTTAGTGACAGACAGCAAATGAATGGTTGTCTGGGAATGGAGAGATGGAGAGGGAAGGATGGATTGCAAAGTAGCAGGAGGAAACTTGTGGGTAAAGGATATGGTTATTATCTTTATTGTGATATCTCATGAGCATAAAAGTAAGTCAAAACTCATCAATTGTAAGGCTTAAATATATGCAGTTCATGTAAATTCTACCTCAATAAATCTATAAACAAGGAGAAGGAGGAGAGGGAAAGAGGAAGGGGAGGAAAAAGAAGAAAGAGGAGGGGTAAAAGCAAGAGGAGGGGTTAGGCATGAGGAAGAAGTAGAGGAGGAGGAGGAAAACAATATCAATGAATTCCAGGGAAAGCATAGAAATGAATTGAAGAAGGAATTGACTAAAGCCAGGGAAAAATATTAATAGTCTATTACATTATTCCAGGAGAGAGAAGAGATGATGACCAAATCAGTAGAAATACCATCTTTCACCAGAATGATCAGTAGTGTCAATAACCTGATCTAGCTGGCACTGGATATATCCCTGTGCTTCATTCATTCAATCATTTAATATTTATTGAGCATCTTCATTGTACCAAGTACTATTTTAAGTACTGAGAAGATAATGGTAAAGAAGATAGACAAAGTTACTGCACTCATGGGGCTGACTTTCTAATCAGGGGAGGCAGGCAATAAAGAAATAAACAAAAAAGGTAATTCCATTAATTGATGTGTTACAAAGGAAATGCAATAATGTGTAGAGAGTAACTCAAGGGGGAGGATAGATGGTTAATTTATATTTTAATTCAGGGAAAACTATTTGAAGAATAATAATAAAGCTGAATTGTAAAAGACAAAGACCCCAAAAGGTAATAACTAGAGGTAGAAAAGTCTTAATGTTGAGAGAAAAATTACAAATACCCTCAAGATGGGAAGGCACTGGGCATATTTAATAAACAGAAAAGAGGCTGGAAGAGGGGAGACTAAAACATGGGAGGGAAGGCACAATAAATGGTGACTAGAGGATATATGACCTTGTAAGCCACATTAAGGAATTTGAATTTCATTATTACCACAATAAGAAATCATTGGAAGGTCTTGAGCAGAGAAGTAATATGATATGACTATGTGCTTGAAAGATTCTTCAGTCTGATGTGTGGAACATGATTGTGGGAGAGGGGGAAAAACAGAAATAGGAAGACAAGGCAGGAATCAGGCCACACTACAAAAATTGGTCAGAAGTGAATCTGGGATTTTATTTTAAAGGCCCAACCATCAAGCTTTGCTAGTAAATAGGTTGTGTGGTAGGGGCTTAGATAAAGGGGGAAGAATCAAGATGACTTGTAGGTCTTGAGTATTAGGTGTAAAGTGATGCAATTTATTGAAACCAGGAAGACTAGGGGAGGAACGTGTTGGGTGTATAGATTATTCTTTTCTGATCACATACAGTTTTAGATGTCTGTTGGGTATCCAAAGAGGAATGTCAAGTGGGCATTTGGAATATCAGAGCTGGAGATAAAAATTGAAGTTCATCCGCATGTTGTATTTTTCTCTCTCATCTCTGCCAGGAGGGTGTGTCTTTTTAATACACTGACCTATCCCAAAATTATATATTTATTTGAAGATAATGATGATGTTAGGTAGAAAAGAAAAAAAAACGAATGGATGATGGTCTGCAGAGTTGTTTTGATGGGAGGATCTCTAAAATTTTATAAACAGATAGTAAAGAGAAGGAAGGAATTAAGGCTGGCTCCCAAAGTAGTACCATTAATTAATTAGTTTGGGAAACTAAGGGTGTGGTAATTTGCATTTTTGGTCCCAATTCTTCATCTATATTTATGTCTATATGACTGTGTCTATATTTACACCCTTGCCACATATCATTACAGTGAGTGGGCATACTTCTACCCCTTGACTGAGTTTCATCATGTGGCTAGCTGAGATGTTAACAGATATTATAAACAGAAGCTTGAACAATCTCTTCCATAATTGTACTTCCATTCTTTTGCATCTGCTATCATCATGAGGACATGCCTAGCTTAGCCCACCATATTTAAGATACATATGAAGCAAAGCCAAGACACCTGAGCCAGCCTAGTCAGCCAAACCAAACCATCTTACTGCCAATCGATCCCAGACATTTGAGCAAATCTAACCAATGTCAACAGCTAGCCAATTCCAGTTGCTCCCATTCATGTGAGCAATAAACATTTATTGTTGTATGTTACTGAGTTTTTGTGGTTCTGACAACAGATAAGTAATGCAAGGAAGAACAGGACGGGAAGGGGAGTAGGATTAGTCTGATGATTAGTACATGATGAATATGAGATTAGCCAGTGACACCTAGGTATAGGACTCAACAGCCACTTAGGTTCTGTGAATCATCGGCATATATGTAGCTCAAGATGTAAGTATGGATAAGATTACCCAAGGAGTATACATAGAATAAGCAGAGGAAATTATGATTGTGACCTGAAGAAGACCTGTATTTGAAGGAACAATGGAGATTGAGAAGGAATGCTCAGACATCTGAGGAGAACCAGAGAAGAATGGTGGTGTGAAAAGTAGGTTTTAAAAAGGAGGTGCTGTGAGAAATGCTGCCCCAGAGAGGTAAGGCAGACATCTTTATATACATTTACAAATAAGAAAGTAAGCTTTGGATAGGGCAATTAAGTTTGCTATGTATGATCATACCAACTAGTAAATGGCAGTAAGGGCCCTAGAGTCTAGATCTTTTGATTTTTACTAGGGCTTTATCATATTATCTTTCTTCAGTGTATACTTCTGATGTCCATAAATATATTATTTAAATGATTGTAAAGTAACTTTTACATATGAAATGTTACCACAAGTGATGAAACTTTAATATTTTAGATGAACATTAAAAAGTAAGAAACAGAGGGACGTCTGGGTGACTCAGTGGTTGAGTGTCTGCATTCGGCTCAGGCTGTGATCCTGGGGTCCTGGGATGAAGTCTGGTGTCGGGCTCCCCAGAAGGAGCTTGCTTCTCCTTCTATGTCTCTGCCTCTCTCTGTGTGTCTCTCATGAATAAATAAATAAATCTAAAAAAAAAGTAAGAAATCATTCTAGGCTACCTCTAACATTATAAAATAATTTTGTTACTTATTGAATGGTTACTTTTATTGTATATCAATTTTTCTATATATGATAAATATGTTTTTGTTGTGATTTTACTACAGACTTATGGATCAAAACAATAACATTTTTATGTTGAATATCATGAGTTAGTACTAATAGTATTGAAATATTTTACAGAGTGAACTCCGTGAGCTTAAAAAGCAAATAGCATCTGTCTCTGCAGAAACTAAAGAAACAGAAAGGCAAATTTATCAGCAGGATGCTGCCATAGAGAATGCCAAACTTCAGTGTGGGAATCTGGAAACTCAAATCAAATCCTTACATACAGAAAATGTAAAGCTTAAATTTGACATAGAAGCAGCCCAGGAACACTTTGAGGAATATATGATAAAATATAATGAATATTATACAAAAATAAAAGCGCATAAAGATAGTTTGGTGGAGGTAGAAAGCAAGTGGTCACTGATGACTGCACTCCATGAAAAACGAGAGCTTGTTAAAAAACTAAAAACAATGAAAGACGAACTTATGCAAAATCTCCAAAATCCAGAAGGAAATCACATAAAACAAGTACAGGTTTGAAATATCACTTATCAGAACTTTTTTTCTATTACTCCTTTTTTGCAAGTACACTTATTAAGTGATGAATGTATCATTAACTTAATAAAATACCAATGACTGCCATAACTAGATTTAGAAATTATTTTCATAACTTTTAAAAACTTAAATATGTGAGTTATGTAACAACTACACCAGATGTACAAATGAATAAAGGAATTTCTCAAATCCCCTGTGGATTAATAAAAAAAATGTAGTCAAAATTGCAGTGAATAATTAATCCATTTGTTTTAGAAAGTGTGACTCACAAAAATGTTGAAGCCCTAGCTTTTTAAAGCTAATGAATCCAATCAATTCAAATAAATTTTGTGTGCTTAATGCTGTTATACAAACAATATCAATTAATAATTGTACCTTAAGAATTTTTCTATTTTTAATATTATTTTTTGAAGACAGTGGGAGATATCCACTTAAATGGATATCTGTCATTTCTTGCTAGAGAATTTAAAAGTATCCTTCGTACTGTTGCTGGGCAATTGCTACTATGACTACCACTTTTCTCATGTCTTATTTACCTTTAGTTTTTATTTTAAGTTTTTATTTTTTTATTAATTTTTTCTTTAAATTCAATTTAGTTAACATATACTATATTATTAGTTATTGTTGCAAGGCAATGGACACTATGACTTTTAATATCTTATTTGCATTTAGTTTTAGTTTTAAGTTTTTAAAACAGATTTATTAGAATAATAGTTCTTTATTCTTTGTATCAAAGTAATATTCTAATACTGTGTACCCAAATTAAATGCGATGGCTAGATTTTTAAAAAAATTATAGAAATGCTGAAAATATTTAACTTATATTGACCATTCATTGTTTGACTTATATATTTTAAACTTTATAAACATACAGGAAGACATTACAAAGCTAAAGGATACAATTATCACTGTAAAAGAATCTATCATTGAAAAAACTTATTTTCTTGAGGAAGAAAAAAAGACACATGAAAAAATAAGAAAAGAAATAGAGGTAAGACTTAATTATATGATTTAAAGTTTTATGGTATCATTTCTTGAGCTTATACTATATAATTTCCATAGTTTACTCTCAATTTCTAAAATAGAGAACAAAAAACTATAAAAAGTAGTAAAGTTAAATCATTAACAGATAGAGACAACTCCCTCATTCAGATACTATTTAAGTAAATATGTGAAATGTATTCAAATAAAACAAGTACTCATTTCTATTAAAATGTGGCCTAGAATTACTACAGTCTTATTCTACCAGCACCTATCAGCACCTACCAGCACCAGTTCTTGATTGATGGCCAGAAAGCTATCAAGGGCTATCAAGGGATATCAAGGGCTATCAAGTCAAAAAGGATAACTATTACTAAAGAGATATTAGAAACTCCTTAAAATAAAGAGACAATGGAAGTCATTAGTATTCTAAACCTCTCTGACTTCATATTTTCAATTGTTAAGAATCAAAAAACATATGCAAAACTGAAAGATTAAATTTGGGGTACCACTAGTAGACTTTTAGGGTCATTATTGTTTAAAGGAATGGAGAACGAAAATGAAAAAGAATATGTTGTTGAGGGCAAATAAATAATTTTCACTCTTAAGACATTAATTTGAAAACTAAAAGATGCGTTTGCTTGTGGCTAATTTGACATAATAAAAAAGCATCTGAGAAATTTGAAGATAAAAATTCTCATTTTTACAAAACATTTATCTAAGAAACATCATTACTTATATTTTTCTAGTAATTCAAATAAATGTTTTTTTACCCTCTAGATAAATATTTATTATAAAACTAAAAATAGTAAGACACTATCAGTGGCATCAAAATAAAATTATTAATGAAATAGAAAAAAGAATCCAGATATAATTCATTATAAATGGTACAAACAAATAGGTTAGCCACATGGAAAAATAAACCAAATTTAAAAATAAAATTGTATTCCTATATTATAACACATGTATAATCACTTACAGGAAGATTAAAGACAATTTAGGAGACAAACTTATCCACTTGTGTTAGAGAAGTATTTCTTTTAAAATATACACACACAAAAAAGTAATATTTAATCATGAACTGCATGTTTAAATATTACTTTTGACAAGATCATAAATTTCTAGATTATTAATAAAAGCACCATAACAATAGAGAATACAAGACTCATTTGAGAGAAGGTATTTATGATTCTCTAAGTAATTAAGAGATAAGAAGATCCCAAACAAGCCAGTAGAACATTGAGTAAATGATATGAAAAGTCTTATTTTTAGAACATACAAAAAACAATGGGAAAAATGACTAACCTAATTAACAATAACGGATCGATAATTAAAACCACAATGGGGTCCCATTTTTAGTTCCTCATATTATCAATACTATAGTTGTTAAGGAGCACTAGAATTTTAATATGCTATTGGTAAAAAGCATTTCAGAAAAGAATTTGAGATTACCTATTAATTTTTTACTCTAATATTCTTTACTGAGGTATAATTGTTATAAGAGTAAGTATATAAATTAAAACATTTAGCTTGATTAATTTTGACTAAGATATATATTTACACCTGTGTTGCCATCACCTACCTAAATCAAGATATAAAACTTGACCATTCATGCTCAGGAAATTCTTTTGTGCCCCTTTCCTTAGGCTACCACTGTTCTGATTTTTAAAAACAACTTTATTGAGATACAACTCACATACTATATGAGTCATCCATAGAAAGTGCATAATTCAATGATTTTTAGTATATTCACAGATAATTTGTAACCATTACCACAATTTTAGAAATTTTCATCATCTCAAAAAAGAAATTCCATAATCATTAGCTATGACCTCTCCATTTGTCTATTGTATTTACCTGTGTTTTGTCCTACCATATTCTTCCTGGTGCTCTGAAATTCCTTTTACCATTTCCTTTCTCTCTAGAAAACTTCTAAAATCCTTACTTTAGGATAAGTCTATTAGGGGCAAAGTCTTTTAGTTTTTTGCATCTGAGAAGATCTTGATTTCCCTTTAACGCCTGAGGGATATTTTTGCTGCACATATAATTCTGAGTTGACAGTTCTTTCCACAGTTGAAAAATGCCATGCCACTTCTTTCTGATCTCCATGACCTAATGAAAAATCGTGTGTCCCTCAAATTGTTTTTCTCCCTATAGATAATGGGTTTGATTCTTTTCCTTTTTTTAAAAAAATTGAAGTAGGATTAACGTACAGTGTTAAATTCATTTTAAGTTTACAGTATGTCAATTTTATACATTACTTAGTACTCATCACAATAAGTATACTCTTAATTCCCTTCATCTATTTTACCCATGCCCCCCCTTCCCTCAGGCAAATACCAGTTTGTTCTCTGTATTTAAGGGTCTGATTTTTGGTTTGTCTCTTTCTTTTGTTGTTTGTTGTTTTGCTTTTTATTTTTTTATTTTTTATTTTTTTAAGATTTTCTTTATTTATTCATGAGAGACACAGAGAGAGAGGCAGAGACACAGGTAGAGGGAGAAGCAGGCCTCATGCAGGGAGCCCGATGTGGGACTTGATCCCAGGTCTCCAGGATCACGACCTGAGCCAAAGGCAGAAGCTCAACCACTGAGCCACCCAGGCATCATGTTTTGCTTTTTAGATTGTACATATGCATGAGATCATATGGTATTTGTCTTTCTCTGATTGACCTATTTCACTTAGCGTTATATTCTCTAGATCCATCCATGTTGTTGCAAATGGCAAGATTCCATCTTTTTTATGTCTCAATAATACTTCATTGTGTGTGTGTGTGTGTGTGTGTGTGTGTGTGTATAAAACTTCTTTATCCATTCATTTATCAATGGACACTTGGGCTGCTTCCATAATTTGGCTATTGTAAATAATGCTGCTATAAAATAGTGGTGCATATATCCTTTTGAATTATGGCTTTGAGTAGATACCCAATAGTGGAATTACTAGATCATATATAGTAGTTCTATTTGTAATTTTTTGAGGAACCTCCCTATATTGTTTTCCACAGGGACTATACCAGTTTTCATTCCCCCAACAATGCATGGGAGCTCCTTTTTCTCCACATCTTCACTAACACTTATTTCTGTTGTTTTGCTTTTAGCCACTCTGACAGGTGACATCTCATTGTGGTTTTGATTTGCATTTCCCTGATGATTAGTGATGTCCCCAGAAGGAGCCAGTATCACTCCAAGGTGTTTGATTCTTGCTGCTTTCAAGATTCCTCTGTCTTTAGTTTTCAGAAGTTTTACTGTGATGTGTTTTGGCATGAATTTCTTTGGATTTATCCCATTTAGATCCTCTAAGTACTTGATTTTATAGGTTTATGTCTTTTGCCAAATTTGAGAATTTTCAGTTATTTTTTTAAAGACTTTATTTATTCATGAGAGACACAGAAAAGCAGAGACATAGACAGAGGGAGAAGCAGGCTCCTTGCAGGGACCCCGATATGGACTCGATCTCCAGACCCAGGATCACACCTTGAGCTAAAGGTAGATGCTCAATTACTGAGCCACCCAGGCATCCCAAGAATTTTCAGTTATTTATTTGAATACTTTTTCTAGTGCTGCCCCTTTTCTTTTTTCCTTCCAGAACTTTGATGACACAAATGATCTTTTTTATAATTCCACAGACCCCTCAGACTCTTCATTTCTTTTTTTCTGTCTCTCCTCTCTGTTGTTCAGATTGAGCAATTTACCGTGTTCTGTCTTCCTTTCATTGATTCTTTCCTCAGTTCCTTTTATTTATATTGGTTATTGTATCTTTTCCACTTGGTTCTTTATATATTCCTTTGCTGAGACTTTATATATTTTTGTTTCAGGCATGCTTATTGAAGAATTTTTATGATGACTGCTTTAAAAGGCTTGTCAGATAATTCTAACTTCTGTGTTTTCTTTGTATTAGCATATGTTGATTACTTCTTACTCAGTTTGATGAGTGATTTTCTACTGAAATATGGACATGCTGGGTATTACGTTTTAAGCCTCTGGATCATTGTTAGCTCCAGGTAGTGGTGAAAGTTCAGATTCTCCAGTCTGTCTCCATTGACACTCATGGAGGAAAGAGAGGATTACTGATACTGGTGGCCATAAGTGGTAGTTCTTACTATCCCCTAGGCCTCTACTGATAACCTTATGGTTGGGACGGGCAGGGACAATCCAACTGAGCTTCTTATGTGGCCTATATTGACAACAGGTGAACATGGCATTGTTGCTACTGAGTAACAGTAGGTGGCGAAAGTCCTAACTCTCTAGTAGGCCTTGTCTGACATTATGTGAGAAGTGGGAAGGATGCCTTGTTACCCTTAGATTGGAGTAGAAGTCCAGGATCCCCAAATGGAAGTCACTGATACCAGAGGGTGTGATTTGTTACTTTCCAGGGTAGATGAAAAGCCCTGGCTTCCCAATTAGCATCTTCTGACACCACCCCATCAGGAGTTTACTTGTCCCTCTCCCTCTGCTCATCCCACCACACTCTCTTTCTCAAATAAATAAATAAAATTGTAAAAAAAAAAAAAAGTAATGTACACACACCCTTTGATCAAGAGGTAGAGCCATTGGATCATAAGGTAAGGTCCATGATCTTTCTAATTCTTAATGTGTTCTTCTAACAATTATCACCACCACCACCACAACTACTTCTACTACTACTACTATCTTAATTTATAATCACTTCATACTCTTTCATGGATCTTTACCCTCTGCTCATGAGGCTGATTGAATAAATATTAAATTTGGTCTTATTGGGACCCTCTAGGTTCATTATTAGCTTCTTTCAAATCCATGGCTTTAACTTAAGCTGAACATGCATGGGGGATAAAATTCCAAGGAGCTAGAATGCTAGAATTTCAGCATCAGCCCACTACAGCATCTGCCAACTGCTCACTATTGCCAAACCTTATGAATAAAGACTACACTCAGAACTAAGACAAAACCAGACTAAGGACAAGGCCTAGACTCAAGAACAAAACTGAAATAGACACTCTAACAAAAATATAAAATAAGGTCTCACAAGATCAA